AAAAAAAAAAATGGTGAATTTGAATTGATTATAGATGAAATCATTATCTCTACACAGTGGTATAATCTGGTGGAAATACTACATAATTATGTTTCTATTTTGAAATCATATACCCAAACACTTGTTATATTTTGGGAAATGATACTAGAATAGTAGATGATCAGTCAATACAAGGTATTTTATTTCTTTTTTTTTTTTGAGACAAAGTCTCACTATTGTCGCCCTTGGTAGAGTGCCATGGCGTCACAGCTCATAGCAACCTCAAACTCCTGGGCTTAAGTGATTTTCTTGCCTCAGTTTCCCAAGTAGCTCGGACTACAGGCACCCACCACAACACTCTGCTACTTTTTTGTTGCAGTCATTGTTATTGTCATTTTGTTTTGTCATTGTTGTTTAGCTGGCCTGGGCTGGGTTCAAACCTGCCAGCCTTGGTGCATGTGGCCAGCATTGCAATCACTATGCTACAGGCGCCGAACCACAAGGTATTTTCATTTTAATTAACAGACAAGAGCATCAGTCTTTGCTAGAAAAATTATCTGCGCTGGAGAAGAAGGTAATTGTTGGTGGTGTTGATTTGTTGGCCAAAGCAGAGGAACAAGAGAAACTTCTTGAAGAATCTAATATGGAACTGGAAGAAAGAAGGAAAAGAGCAGAGCAACTTCGCAGAGAACTTGAAGAAAAAGAGGTAATGTGGACTTTTTGTTTTTAGTTTAATATTTTGCATAAGATTCTAGTGAAAAGCTAAGAATCTATAATCTTGATGAAATTTTAAAGATTTATGGATTGCTTTGCTAAACAGTTGTATGTTAAATAATTAGATTTATGGTTTAATGAAAAAATGATTCTGAAATTTACTGATTTTTATCATAGCAAGAACGCTTAGATATTGAAGAAAAATATACCAGTTTGCAAGAGGAAGCACAGGGAAAGACTAAGAAGTTAAAGAAAGTTTGGACAATGCTGATGGCTGCAAAGTCAGAGGTTGGTCTCTTAGAATTGACATACTTACGTAGTTCTGAATTTTTTAAAAAGCAGTTCCTTTTATTAAGAATCCATAAGTAATAGTGTGTGCTTATATTAATAATTGTAAAGAAATAAAAAAATTTCTTTTATTGTTTTTAATTTCACCTATTGGCTAAAAAGTTTCTTTCCAACCTCAGCTCATAATGTGGAATCATTAGTCATAGTGTCACTCTGTCCATTATTTTTGTGAAAGAACTGGGTAGGCACTCACAAGTTCTCTTAGACTAATGCCCTATGTGAAATGAAACTGCTTTGTGTTTAAAATCTTGTTTGTTTATAGTATTTTCATGGATTTTCTGGTAGATGGCTGATCTTCAACAGGAACATCAGAGGGAAATTGAAGGCCTTCTGGAGAACATTCGGCAGCTTAGCCGGGAGCTTCGACTTCAGATGCTTATTATTGATAACTTTATACCTCAGGATTATCAGGTAGCAGTAAAGCTGTGACCTAGATACTAAGTCACTTGGCTGTGGTTAAGGAACAAAGAAATGTAATTTTCAATTTAAGCAATGGTAAATACTTAATTTCAGTTACTGAGCAAAAAATTTTCTTGAATGAATGCCATCACATCTCACTTTAGTCGTTAACTTTTCTTAATACATAATTCTGTGCTTGAGTATTTAAGCATCTAAACAAGAATATTTTAGCCCATCAGAAGAATTCAGATTGGTGCAAATGCAACCAAAATTAAGGTATAGGTCCTATTTTTTCATTCATTGTCCTTTACCATATAAGTGGAATTTGGAACCATTGTGCTTCCCTTTTCTCCTTACATATGGATGCTGATTCTTTGTGTAGATATGTGGCAAAATATATATGCTGTGAAATTAACCATTTTAACCTTTTTATTTTTTGAGATGAGGTCTCACTGTCTTGGCCAGGCTACTCTCAAACACCTGGGCTCAAGGGATCCTCCTGCCTTAGCTTCCAGTGTAGATTTTTAACTACTTTTAAGTGTACACTTCAGCAACATCAAGTATGTTTACATTGTTGTGCAACCATATCCATCTCCAGATAGATGCTAATTCTTAGCACTGGTATAATTAAAAAATCTCATTTTCAAATTTTTTAACTCAAAATTTCTGTCTTTCTAATATGTTTTAGTAAACTTTAACATCTTAATTTTTTTAAGAAAAACATACTTTGAATCTCAATAAACTTTAAGAAGGTTGTCTAAAAGTAAGTTTTGGTATCTTTTTTCCCTTTGGAGTCAAGTGCACAGAATTAATCCTAAATTGATAGTATATTCTCCTTGTTGCTATTTGGATGGCCTGCTTTTATTTACTTATTTTGTAATATCATGTAATATATAATTTTAAGATTTAAACCTTTTTTCACTTAGCATTATTGAGAATTTTAGTTCTATGAATATTTTTCTATATTATAAATGTTATTCAATATTAAAAATAGACTTATCTTTGACTCTTTTGAAAGGAAATGATCGAAAACTATGTCCATTGGAATGAAGACATAGGAGAATGGCAGCTAGTGAGTATTCCCTTTATCCTTCCACAAAATACTTACAAAGTACTTCCTGGGGACTAGAAATTGTGCCAGTTACAATGGAGAGGGAGGTGGTCCAGAGGAGGAACTAGAGGAAAATCAGTAGGGCAGATAAGATATTTTTGTAATTAGTTGTATTATATTGCGTAATAACTAATTAAAACACATAGGTCATGGTCTAGGTCAGGGGTCCTCAAACTTTTTAAACAGGGGGCCAGTTCACTGTCCCTCAGACCGTTGGAGGGCCATGCTGCAGGCCTCGGGACAAGTCGGCTGCTAAGCAGGACAGGCAGTGGCAGCAGGGCCGGATAAATGTCCTAGGTGGGCCACATGTGGCCCACGGGCCGTAGTTTGAGGACACCTGGTAGGTGGAATTGTCAAAGTCAGGGGTAAAGGCTGGGCTGCCTGCTCCAGCATTCAGATCATGTTATACTAGTGTAACATCAGGTGATTGCACAGTAATTTGCCTGATTCATGGTATTAATTACTAAGACATTTTTGTTCTTCTTTTTTTTTTTTTGAGAAATGTGTTGCATACACAGGAAATAACATGAGGAAGCAAACCCCAGTACCTGATAAAAAGGAGAAAGATGTAAGAATACTTTTTTTTTTAAACTACAGTTGTTTCTTTATAGAAATGTGAGTCATTAAATTGTGTTATCAACCTGGTATTTGTTAATCAGCTCTGCTGAAAAATGGATTAATTTAGGGGGAATAAAGGCCCTAGGATGGGGTGATTATTAAGAGAGTTCTACTCACCATCAGTCTTGATCATAGGCCTATCATTTTGCAACAGTGGTCTAGAGTCACTGCTTAGAGTCCTCTTTTCATTACCTCTCTGAGTCATGGATCATGGTTAGAGACTGAAATGTGTCTGGCTTCCTTTTCAAGGCTAGTTCTAGTTCTAGGTTAACAAGAAGAGCAGCTTTAGGGAAAACAGCAGCTGTTTTTCTTTAAGGAAATGTGTGTATGTGAGGGATTCCTGTTTACCAAGCTTTAGTGAATACACTTTAGATATTGGGATTAGAAGATGTCTTTAGATATTTGTTTGGTTTTGTCTTCTGTGGCGTTTTTCTAGGAGTTTGTTTAGTATTTTAAGTCTTCTCCCAAATCTAACTCAGCTTTGTCCTGGAAGAGTGCCCTGTGTGCGTTTCTTTTCCTTAGCCCTTTGAAGTGGACCTTTCCCACGTGTATCTTGCCTATACTGAGGAGAGTCTACGTCAGTCTCTGATGAAATTAGAGAGGCCACGGACTTCTAAGGGGAAGGCACGGCCCAAGACAGGGAGAAGGTAAGGGGGCCCTTTGAATCCCATCACATGAAGGATATAAGATATTCTAGTTAGACACCTTTAAAGGAAATTAAAATTTATTTAGTTTGCATGATAAATATTTTGGCTGATATATTAAAAATCAAATTCCTTGTTTAGTTAGAATTTGAGTAAGAATTAAGGTCTTTCAACTTCCTTAACCCTCCAGAGTAGTAAAATTTATTTTTGATTTGCTTTTTTTCCCAAGTGTATGATAGATCACATACTATCTTGTTTCATTCCTGAATTCTTACATCAGTTCTAGTGAGATGCTAATTAATTTGTCTGATTTAATTCCGAAGGTATATTCAACTGGTTAGTTTTTCTATCATAAACATTGCCCCAAGAACCTTGATTTCCTCAGTCACCAGTTAAAGAAAACATCTCTGGTCATTTTTTCCTGTCCCCTGGGCTCTGGTTTTGACTGTTGGGTAGTTTCCATGTATTATCACCTAAGCCCAGGGAAATCAGGATGCGGGAGCCCAGGGTTGGAGCTTGTTTCTTCTCTCTCTTTCCTACATCAAATAATTTTCCAGTTACTTAAGCCAATTGTAAGATTTTGGGACTCCTGAAATGGTAGAAATAATAAGCTGTTTTTCCCCCTACTTTGAGTACATGGACTTTTGAGTTACATGCAGGATGAGGCTGTATAGTTCTGATATTTTTATGTTACATTATTTCACAGACACTTAATCGTTAAAGTGTTCATTTATAACTTAATGCTTACAAATTTGGGATAGTTGAACTTGGGGTAGGTGGAATCAGTGGCATATTTAAAGTGTATAGATTTTTACATTATTATTATTTTTTAAGACAGAGTCTCACTCTGTTGCCCCAGGTGAGTGCCATGGCATCATAGATTATAGCAACCTCCAACTCTTGGGCTCAGGTGATCCCCTTGCCTCAGACTCCCGAGTAGTTCGGACTGCAGCTGCCACCATGCCTAGTTGTAGATTTTTACATTCTTTAGTATTTAGATGAGGAATTTTATATGCCAACAGCAGCTACAAATATGAATGAATGAAGCAAATAATTTCTAAGAAACATGAGTCCTTTTAGATTTTTTTTTTTTTTACTTTTCTACTTTTAATAGAGATATTTTCCTCTTTACAGTAAGTAGGAAAAATGACAGTGCAAGTGTAAGTAGGCAGTGGTGGGGACTGGGGCAGAATGGAGAGCAGCTCTGTCTAAAGTGAGTGGCTGCTGTTCTTGTCCTAGTGTGTTGTGAGAATAGTGGGGCTTGTTTCTGGATCTTCTCTTTTCTAAGAAGCCAGAAAATAGGGTTATTTACATGAAATCTTTCAACTTTTAGTTATACCTTTTTTTTTTTTACTATGTGGACATAAATAAATAATTAGATATTTGAATACAATTGCCAGAATGCTTATTTTAAAATATGTACATTTTTAGTTTAACTGAAGAAAAAATGTGTGGACCAACATTATGTAAGCCAAGCATCTCTGTATACTAGAATTAGCCTGCTATATTATGAAAACTAAGAAAATGATAGATAGCTATAAACATGGGCAAATCTATATAGCAATAAATGATTTATTGATTATATTACATTACATTACATTATAAGGTCAAAGTGATATTCCTCATTAGAAACACATAGTTCAATGCACTGGGAAAAATTGGAATAAATATGGGACATTTCTATAGCATTTCCGTTAATCCCTGAATGTGCATTTGTGAGGTATTGCCTCAAATGACTTCTGTTTCTGATTTTCACTAAATCCACCTGTACCTTTAGGATACCCCAGATGGAATAATCATGGGATTCAGACATGGCAAGCGTACAGCCTTCTTGGCCTGGCCTCAGTTGTCTAGTCCAGTTTTGGAAATTACCATCCGCCTAGTCTCTCATTACTCTGGCATAATAAGGTGGGGTTCTATCCACTTGTATTACCCTAGGTAACCTTCCCCTAGCTGAAAAGGTAGGAATTAATTGATCACTTAACATGGTCAAACCTTTTGGGCTAGCTGCAGTGGCTCATGCTTGTAATCCTAACACTCTGGGAGGCTGAGATGGGTGGATTGCTTGTGCCCAGGAGTTTGAGCCCAGCCTGAGCAAGAGTGAGACCTTGTCTCTACTAAGAAGAGAGAAAAAAAAAATAGCCGGGCATTGTGGTGAGCACCCGTAGTCCCAAGTTACTTGGGAGGCTGAGTCAAGAAGATCTCTTGAGACCAGGAATTTGAGGTTGCTGTGAGCTATGATACCACAGCATTCATAAAAAAAAAAAAAAGAAGAAGAAGAAAAAAACATGATCAAACATTTGAAAATTAGCCTGTTTCCAGACTCCATGGCCACCTTGTGTTTTCTACTACATAATGTAAAGTGTTTGCATTTCATTCTTTTAGGAGAGCATTCATGCTTACTTTTTCTCTTCTCCAAACAGAAAGCGTTCTGCAAAGCCTGAAACTGTAATTGACTCTTTACTTCAGTAAATGTTACAGACTTAAAATTACAATAAAATTTTATGATATTCTCATGCTTGGACAGAATCTTTAATTAAAACACTGAAGACTTCTGAGTAACTCCGAATAAGAGAAGCTATAAATGATGGAGTAAGACTGGATATGTTAATTTGCCTAATAACTTTTAGTCTATATATATTGAGTTAATATAACATATTGTACAACTGGTACTGTTCAAAGATCATTCTGCTCTTCACTTGAACTGTGCAAGGAAATTGGGGGAGCAGTTCGTACTATAGAGAGGTATAGTTTAAATGTATTTGTAAATCAGTTAGCTATTTACCTAACTACTGTATATTTAGACAACCAGAGTTTCAAAATAGAAAAACAATTCTCCTGTTTTGCACACAGAAGGTAGCAGATCAGATTGTCCTATGTTGCACTGTTATATATGAATGTTTGAGCTGCTTATCTAATAAATGACCTAACACTAGCCTTCTAGCCTATTTAAACATGTTCTGATTTTCCAGTATTCATTGCATTTTAAGTATGAAATGACTGATCTTATTGATCCCCTGTAGAAAATTTTATAACTCAACAATCTTTGCAAATACATGTTTTTAAAAAAGTTGAAAATGTGTTTTATCTGGACCTCTCCCTGCTGTTTGGCTACTTTGAGTCAAATCAAATATACATTTTTGTTATTCTGATTTCATGTTCTCTTGAAATTTTGAATTGCACCTAAAAATGAAGGGGCCACAGTGGCAGAAAATTAAGTAGCTAAGTGGAGGCCATTTATCATTGCCTGTCTGTGTATTTTTAAATATTAACTTTGAAGTGTGATTTACGGATGCGTTTTTCTGAGTTCTAAATTTTGATGGAGATTATTCTGTATCTCCCAATTAAGGGTATCCATTTACCAGGAAATGCAGCTAAGCAAGGAAAATGTCTTTTAGTCCTTGTCTTTAAAACACTTTGTTTTGGGCGGTACCTGTGGCTCAGTGAGTAGGGCGCTGGCCCCATATACTGAGGGTGGCAGGTTTGAACCCCACACTGGCCAAACTGCAACGGAAAAATAGCCAGGTGTTGTGGCGGGCGTCTATAGTCTTAGCTACATGGGAGGCTGAGGCAAGAGAATCACCTAAGCCCAAGAGCTGGAGGTTGACGTGAGCTGTGACGCTACGGCCCTCAAAGTGAAACTCTGTCTCTAAAAAAATAAATAAAATAAGACACTTTGTTTTGTTTTTCTTCATATTTTATAAAAAAATTATTTCCCTAGTTTTTACTATTGATTAATCTAGTTAAACCATATTCCTCTATAAATAAAAATTATGTTCATTTTATAGTTAAATAAGTTGTAATAAAATCATTCTTTCATGGCTGCTTACAGAATTTTGATTGCTTTTGAAAGTTACTCCACTCCTAAACCACATAATATATGTTTTATGGGTCTTAAAATTATGTAATCAGCCTTAAAACACATTGTTTGAAAAGGTTTTTGAGACTTCATAAGTTAGTATTTATTAAATTAATATTTTAATAAGTTTGATTAAATATTGGTTTATAATACAAAACTGTGTACACAGTTGGGATGAGTGGTGGTAAAAATGTGTCTGTAAATTTAAAGTACTTTCCAGAAGTGGAATACTCAATGTTCTGTACGTGGTGAATATTTTCTAGGTAATGAGAATTGCATTTCACTGGCAGCATTTTCTTTGTAATGTGTTAGATAGTTACAAGTTTATAACTTATTCTGCAGGTCATTGTTTAGATACAGTGGAGACTTGAGGTGAATACATGTCTTATAAAAGCTGTGTGAGCAGAATATTTTGATAATTATAAAATGTTTTTGTTGATGTACACATAAATCTGTTAGTAATTACTCTACAGAGATCTTAATTTTGCTAGTAGATAAAAAAGATCAGTGCTTCTTTTTAAAAGTCCATGTTCCCAGACTTCAACAATTCAGTTAAACAGGAAAGGAATAACTTTTGAATTAAGCTTTTAAACATCATAGGAATTTAAGCCAGTATCTCAGACATTTTTTCTATCCCACCCTACCACAGAAAGAAATCTATAAAAAGGCACAATGGCTCACACCTGTAATCTTAGAACTTTGAGAGGCCAAGGTGGGAGGATTGCTGAGGCCAGAAGTGTGAGACCAATTTGAGCAACATAGTAAGAAGCTGTCTTTAAAAAATATAAAAAGAATTAGCTAAGCATTGGTGGTATGGGCCTCCTAGCTACTTGGGAAGTAGAGGCAGGAGGGTCACTTGAGCCCAGGAGGTTGAGATTGCTGTGAACTATAATCATGTCACTGCACTCTAGTCTGGGCACCAGGGCAAAACTGTCTCAAAAAAAAAAAAAAAAGAAAAGAAAAGAAAGAAACAAAAACAAGTCAAAATAAAAAGTCAATCTGCAAAAAGTCAATTGAGAAATTTTTAAAGCAGGCTACTATAACAATTTTTTTTTGAAAAAAGCATTTAAAAACTGATTATACCAGATAGATGTTAAATATCTGTCTTGTAAAATACCAAAATGTGATACTCAAGCCAGGCCTGAATATCCATTTGTGGTGGGCGCCTGTAGTCCCTGAATATCCAGTTATAGCAGTTCTGTGATATCTTCATACTGACAATGTCTTTGTCCACAAAAGAAATATTTTGTAACTTCAGTGTTAATTTCATGAAAGGATTATAGATGAACAAACTTGCTCATTATTTGAAATAAATATGCAGATTTAAAATGAGTGCACATATATATATATATGTAGGTTATTGAATGGGCATCTTTTGTCTCTTTAATTTAAAAAGTAATATTTATTTATTAAAAGGCATCTTGGTAGAGTTATTGGTTTATAGTATGTTCTTATAATTACATATACTAAAAGTTAGGATATTAAAATATAATAGGAATCATTCTCCATTTTTTGTTTAGATTCTTGTAAAGTATAAGGCTAATCAAGGAGAGATGCTGCATCTACATGTTGGTCCCACAAGTAGAATCCATTTGACAAGCTATTTCATATACTTTTCTAGAGAAAGGGGAATTTTTTCTGCAGCAGGAAATTTAATGTTACTTTGGGAGAAAGTGTGGTGGTATTTCATTCATAACATGTTTTTAAAATTATAATTATGGTTTTGGGGTGGCTTTTTTGTTTTGTTTTGTTGTAGTCTATTTTTAATATCTTTCTCCTTAACTCTTAAGAAAGGTATTTCTCTTTCCTACAGGGCTGTGAATTAAGGAATGGGTGGAGTTTACATTTAAGCGTGCCAGTGTCTACCCAATTTCTTAATGTATACATTTGTTTTCCTTTTTAATTATTCTTTGTTCTTAAAATACTAGAAGAAAACATAGATCTTTCTAGTGCCTTTGAACTTATACTGTAGTTGATTAATTTAAAATTATTAATAACTTTAATAACATTACTATGATGCTGTATACTGGCCAAAATTACAAATTGTACAGTAAGTTTATTGCATCAGTTTCAGAAGCCACACTTTCATTGTATTTTATGTCTGAGTTGTATTTGTTCACGTTGTATATATTGATATTGTATGTATACGTGCAGCATGGTTAAATAAGAATAAAAGTCTTTTACCTAAGGCCTGTATTTGTGGTCTTCCTCCTTTCTGAAATATCTTTGTGTTTACTTTCAACATGATGTTAATGAGCAAGTTCTTTGTGCTTAAAATCTTAATTTTGTATGGTTAAAAGACACTTATGTAATTTCATATTCAGAAACTCTTAATGTTGTAGGCCCTTTAAACAGAAATCATGGGGTAGCACCCATAGCTCAGTGGGTAGGGCGCCGGCCACATACACCCAGGCTGACAAGTTCAAACCCAACCTGGGCCAGCTTAACAATGATAATTACAACAAAAAAATAGCCGGGCGTTGTGGTGGGCACCCTTAGTCCCAGCTACTTGGAAGGCTGAGGCAAGAGAATCGCTTAAGCCCAAGAGTTGGAAGTTGCCGTCAGCTGTGACACCACAGCACTCTACCGAGGGCAATGTGGTAAGGCTCTGTCTCAAAAAAAAAGAAAAAGAAAAAAATTAACAGAAATCATGAAACAAACTCTGATAAAATTTATTTTTCAGCAAAAATATATTTATCCAAGTTTTGTTATCCTTTCATTAGGTGTTAGAGAACAGAAACCAGTTCTCAGGTCATAAGGTAAAGAGTGTGTATGCAGAATGTATCTCACTAAAAGGTAAGAGGAAACATTGCTTGGTGGTAACAATAGCATGATCTCATTCAGAAATTCCTCATGAACTTAAAGTATCTCCAAAACAATAATGTTGCTTGGATTATTGTTAACCATATGTTCTTTTGCCAAAGATTGATTTCCAGGCCCTATACTAGGCAGTCTTAAAAAATTCAAATTCAAAAAAAAAAAAAGAATAATTCAAATTTAAGCTGGACACAGTGGCTCACGCCTATAACCCTAAGCACTCTGGGAAGCTGAAGCAGGAGGATCTCTTGAGCTAGGAGTTCAGACCAGCCTGAAAAGATTGAGACCCTGCCTCTACTAAAAACAGAAAGATTAGCCTAGCATTATGATGGGCACCTGTAGTCACAGCTACTCTCTATAGGCTGAGGGAGAGACTAAAACTCACTTGAACCCAGGAGTTTTAGGTTATGTGAAACTATGTCTCCAAAAAAAAAAAAAAAAAATTTTTTTTTTCTGTGAACTGGGCTAGAGTGCAGTGTGTCATAGCTCATTGTATCCTCAAACTCCTGGGCTCAAGTGATCGTCCTGCCTCAGTCTCCCAAGTAGTGAGGACTATGGGCACACACCACCACACTTGGCTAATTTAAAAATTTGGGGGGCTGTGCATGGTGGCTCACATGTGTAATCCTAGCATTCTGGGAGGCTGAGGTGGGTGGATCACTTGTGATCACTTGAGCTCAGGAGTTTGAGAGCAGACTGACCTCATCTCACTAAAAATAGAAAAACTAGGTGGGTGTTGTGGCAGGTACCTATAGTCTCAGCTACTTGGGAGGCTGAGGTAAGAGGATCGCATCAGCGTAGGAATCTGAGGTTGTTGTGAGCTATGATGCCATGACACTC